ATAAAGAACCCATAAAAGGAAAAGTAATAGTAACATATAATTTATGAACTCTCACATAGTCTCGGACACCACGTACAAAAATTAAAAGGTCCGATATGGATATTCAAAACATTGGTAAATTAACAATACCACATTAACACATTATTGATTCCGGTGGCGGCCTTTTAAACTGTATGTACACTTTCTTGGCTACAGAAGTTCACGTCTCACAAAATTTATTGTCCTTGTGTGTCCCTCGTTGCATTTTTTGACTTGGTACGAGCGAGAAACCAAATATGTTACAATATTTATTTTATTTGTATCTGCTGTCTCACCGTGCTCTCGAAGAAATTTCTTTAATTTCAATTTTCCAAACATTTACACAAAACCAAGCACAAGGAAAGTTTCGATTTATTGATTTCACTTATTTTTTTTGATTATTACAAAGCTTAAAAATTTGTTACAAAAAGTTATACTACATTATGTATAAAAAAAAAAAAAAAAGAGGTGCAAATTAAAGGGATAAAAAGAAAAAACACTGATAACAGCAATTGTAATCCGCGCCAACATCCCTCGCTATCTAGTGAAACGATGATAGTAAAGATAATTAATGAAGTCTACTAGCGATTTGGAGAAGACGGAAATTATTCTGAGATACATGTGCATGATTTCTTTTTTTTCTTTGCCTTTTTTTTTTTTTGTGTGGGTTTTTCTTTTTTTTTTTTTCTTTTTTTTTTTCCTTTTTCTTTTCTTCTAGACTTTATGTACTGCACCTGGCGAGGTGGCGAAGAGTTGTCATTCTGTACAATTTACTAATTAATAAATGATTATACGTGTATATAAATAAATATGGCTGTCGTGAAGAAAAAAAAGAAGAATTGTTTCTTGAAAGCAAATTAATTAATTTGTCTACTGAATGTCTTGGTGAAAATTGTAACGCTCTTGCGTGATGTAAATGTCAACATATTCAATTATGATTTTAGAACAATTTCTATTCATTGTTTTAATTGTTTAAATATGAATCCTGAAATTGGGTTTGTAACTGGAGGAGTTGTTGAATCGACTGAGTGGTTTCAACGTTTGTTACGTATGGAAAGAAGTTTCCGGGACTCGTTGGTGTTGGTGGGAGTTCCGGCAGTGTGGCGGAAGGTAATATTGTTGCGTCCTGAGAGGGAACGACGTATCTGGCGAGATCTTCGGTCGAATTCCAATTGCTGGTCTGTGTCAATAGAAATGCCATGACGTCCGAAGCGTCGGCAGTGATCTCGGGGATACTGATTTCATTGTTGTTACTGATGTCATCATTAAACTGAGAAAAGTCGGCCTCGTTCAGTGTCGCGGGAAAGGGTGATGTCATGGAATTCTCCAGGACTTGGGTGGGAGTCAGTGAAGGTGTATAAGATTGAAGATTGTGATATTCGGGAATGAAGGAAAGTGCTTGCTCGTCAATCAATGATAAGGTAGCTTCTGTCCAAGATTTTTGATGATGGCAATTAGGACATTGACTTTGTGGTTGTTGTTGTTGTCGTTGCTCCGGTAATTGTAAAGGAGGGTAATTTAACTTCAATTCCGCAGGAAAATCGGCCCAAATTGGCGTTACAGGTGGCGTTTCCATGAAAGTCTCTGGCGTTGCGACTTCTTCCACTCTCTCCTCTCGCTTGTCGGACGATGGTCGAAATTCGAATACCGTAAATGCTGATTCCATGGATGCTTGTTTCCTGTGTTCTATTGGCACTTGCGAATCTTCCTTTGGGTCTTCGGGGCCCGAAACTTTGGCTGAGTCGGTGGAGGAAGGTGCCGAGTTGCCTTTATTTTTACTATCCTTCTTCTTCGGCTTATACTTGTAGTAAGGATATTTCTTCTTATGCTCCACGAGAGCCAAATCAGCTTCCCTCTGATAATACAACTTAATCTCTTCCGGTTCTTCTCTCCACATTTCGGCCACCGTTTTCGAGGGGTGACGTTCGTCGGTATTTCGCGCTTTCGACTTGAACTTGGATAGCTCTTTGGACTTGGTCTTGTGATATATGATGAAGGCATTTGGTGGACGAGGTACCTTCGTATCGTAGGGCTTGAGAGAAGCCGGTGATGAACCGCCATTCATTCGACGTTTCTTCAAATTCTATTTGTTTTTTTAGGAAAAAAAAGTTAAGTCTTTCAAATGGAAGATTTCGATTTTCTCATAAACAATTCGGAAGGTATAAATACCCCTTGATAGCTTTCGGACGCCCATAGAAATTGACCTTTGCCTTGATCGAAAGTCAATTCTTGCAGTAGCCCGCTGTGAGCACCAAGAGGCAAAGGTGTAGGGAGAGTATCATCAGGAGGACACTGTGAATTTTTTCGGATGTGCAGTTGGTATTTCAGCACTCTTTGCTTCGCATCCTGTTGTAAGGATTTCTGCTCAACAGCTGAATCTAATGGTCTTTCGAATTTGGAGGTATTTGAGGTGATGTTTGTAGTGTAAGGGGAGCAATCTTCTAAATTTGCCACGTTGACCTGGTTAATTTTCCAGGGACGCGACCCCGCTTGTTTACTGTCCATCTGTTTGGCAAAGCTTTGAGGATGATTTATTTAATGAACGGACATACACACTATTACTCACTGACGAAAATCGTTTATGCTCAGTGGCAAAAAGAAAAAAAAAGAATAATTTAGATTTAAGTTGAAAACTTTGAGGTCTTTTTACTCTTTTGATTTGATAAAGGCGATAATGGTTAACCGATGAATCATTTTATTCAAAGATTTTCATTCATTGGAAAAATCTCAATTATCAGGAATATGTGAGCCTCGGACGTGTTATTGAAATTTTGCCTCTGAGTTTTTTAGACGGAGGATGAATTTCTGAAGGTGTAATTTATATAGATGTTCGTACCACAAAGACGAGAATCTTGAGGGATAACGTAATTTCCAAATTTCGTAATTCACATTTAATCAGTATGCTAATATCCCCTTAATAATCACCATCACTGTGTGATGAATTTATACGTAAAGTAAAACGGATACATAAATACACATTTAAAATTTGGATAAATAAAAAAAGATACCGATACCGATTATGTCATTAAATTTGTCGATCATGCCAGCCCACGAGTAACTTGAAGCAACTCTTTTCTCGATGAATGCCAATCTGAGTGAGAGGGAAGCGACGATTCGCGGCTTGTAGGGATGCCAGATGGCGATGTCCTAAGGTTACTGACCGAGTATGGATTGAATCATTTTTTTTGAAACTCGCCTTCGGAAAATCACCTCTGTAGAAATATCTGAAACATTCAGTAGCTCTGTGATTCTATAAACAGTAGCAAAAAAAAAAAAATATATATATATATATATGCCTATATCAGTAAGAGAAAATATATGTACATGCATATATAGATATGTACATATGCATTAATATGTATATATGCGTGTATGTATAATACTGTATGTTTTCATGAGACAACTTCAATCACGCACCATGCGATTATGGAATGAACATAATCCCGTTTGAAGATTGACCTCGAGATGAAATGTTGAAGTCAACTCGTTGATTCGGACCGAAATCATCATTCTGTTCTTCATCCTTTGTTGAACGGAGAAAGGTCCAATTCATTTAAAAAAAAGAGCAAGGATTTTTTTTTTTTTTATATTGTTTATATGTAGTGTTTTATTTAACATTCACATAAACAAACAAAAAGCTTAATTGACAAAATTTTTTTATGTGGAGCTATTTTTCAACGTTGATGACAGTACACACAAATAAATACGTGAATTCAGATTCGAATGAAAGATCCCAAAAACTTGTTATTTTTAATATAAATAAAGACTACCGCGAAATAACCAATCAAACTCTTCTCAGTAAATAGTTACTTTTGCAAATTTCAAATGAACGCCCAAGTTTTTTATCACATCATCTCCAATCAACTATTTCTGCAATAAGTGGCCCATTGTTTTGATGGTATGTGTTTGCAATGACCATATCTTTGTAGCAAACAAGAGAAACGGTGAAAAGAAGGTTGCACCAATTTTATTCCGTACGGTTCTTCATTGGAACGTTTCAACGCAATTTTTTCCGACATTGGTCTAAATGTTCTCTTATAGACATGCATCATTCCCAAAACACAAAACAAAAAAAAACTGGAAGATTTGATGTCGTTAGGGATGTGCACGTCGGAATTTATGAGGCGAAATTTTCAAATGAGCATTTAGAGGTTCCATCAATTTGCCCTACCCTCATGGAGTTCTCGCCGGGCGAATGAAGTTGATGATGTGCGCTTGCGACTGATCTGATGGAGGATTGAAAGTAATTTGACTCAACATCAATGGAATCAAAAATTAGCCGAACCAATGCCAAATCATATGGTCGAGATAAATTTTGTTCCACCATCAATCAAACAAACTGCATTTCTCCACAGAACAACTTGAGGCAATGAAAAGCGAGCGAGTGACCGACTTAGACTTATTAAAGTTGATCATATTGATGACACATTGGGAGGTACCTGGCATAAATAATTACATGTGTGCGATATGTGCGCTCGTTTTTGTAGAAAAAAAAAAAAAAAAAAAAAATTATTATTATTATTATTATTACTATTTCCTATTTCAACGCCATGATCCTTTTCCTAGCAAACAAAAAAAAACACCGACATTCTTCTCCACAAAAATTCTTCATGCAAATTGACTCGCATTTAGATGATAAAAAATGACAATTATAGTAGCCATCCAACTAACTATCATGACAGAATTATTGTATCTTTGTTTTCCTGAGAAAGCAACTGTATTTGTCCGCACGAAGATCCGTTGACTAAAAAAAAATAAAAAACTTCGCCACCAACACTTCTGAACCATGTATGGAAAGCACCACAGTTGAGCTACCGTGATCTGCACGAGACCCAAGGAAAAATTTCCTAAGGTATTGCATGCATTTCATCAACGAGATTTCACTCTTTCCACTAATCGCAGATCAAATATCTTTTCTGTTTTTAACATCTCCGTTTAAACCTCTTCTTTTTTCCTCTACTGGTCCATTTTCACTTGGCTTTTGCACATGGACCTTTTTTCGTGTGCCGACCTCGTTCTAAGCATGTATGCGTATCATGCGATGTAATATATTATGTAATAAGCATCGAGATACAAAAATAAATACAAATGAAAAACAGTGCACTTTTTTTTATTTACCACTAATTTCCTTGAAATTAGGTTCGTGACTACAAACTTTACACATTCAAAACATTAAAACTTAAAATTTAATTATTAAGTGAAAAAAATAAAAAAAACTCTGCTCGTTTGTTCACGGTCACCATGTAACCTTTACGTATGATCTGACCGATTGGTCTTGTTGTGAGTTATGCTCTCAAGACAAAAAAACCCACCACTCTTTATAATATTAACTGCAATTTGCGAATGCCGAATAATAATATTAACTGCAATTTGCGAATACCAAATAATAATAATAATAATATAATAATAAATAAATAAATAAATAAATAAATAATAATAATAACAGTGATAGTAGTAATACTGGTAATGTTCATGTTCATGACAGCGGTAATTAGTGATAGTAATAGTTACGGCAATGGTAGCGGTAATAGTAATAGTAGTAATACTAGTAGTAATAATGGTAATGTTCATAGCAGCGGCAATTAGCAATGGTAGCGGTAATAGTAATAGTAATAGTAATAGTAATAGTAACGGTAACGGTAATCAACAATGATAAATGACAACAGTAATAATTTGTGTTCGGAATCATTTAACAAAAAAAAAAATTCTCAAAGATCCTGTCGCCTTTGTTTTTGATCCTTTCTTCTTTGCTTCCTTTGCACAAAGGACATCATTGTCAAGAACAAGGGAATGACGGAGGGATCTGATGTTGTCACACTCAACTTCCCCCAAGATTATTTGGTGTACACCGTGAAATTTGTTACTTGATGATAAAATAGTGATCGAGGACACGAAAGGATGGTTATGTCACGCGGAGTCGAATTCGCGAGAAGGATGCGTATCACCTTTACATGCGAAAGTTGCAACCTTGCACAGTCGCTCCACGAAATGATGCCTGATTTGCCTACGGGATGACTGCACGCATATAATATGCCCAGCGTCATAATCACACCGATTCTATGCAAAGCTTTGAATACATTATATTCGGCGTGGATTCAATCGGTCATCGCTTTAATGGTGATACGTGACATTCGGTGGAACACAGTTTCCTCGTAGGTATTAAACTATCAAGGTGGGACCTTGTTCTAATGGACAAGGTACTCTGCGCTGGATTACATAAACAGCGGATTTGTGTTCTAGGGGGAACTTTATTACAAGGCAGGTTCCATCCCGGTCTATGTTTTGCGAGCGTTCGTCCACGTGACAATAAGACCGTGCCATAACGCACAGTTCTCACCAGCATTAAATTTCTGATAAATCGACATAATTCCACCGGGAAAAATCAAACACTAGACATCGTGATCAAGCGTAGCATACGATCTACCATGGTAATTCATAGATTCCCGTTTAGTGTGCATCTCTCGTATGGTTGGCAGATGTCCTCACGGACCAATATGTCAAAGTTCTGCAGCGCCTCTCCGGATTATTATTTGTGTGATGTTCCATGTGCCAATTTTTTAAAAAAATTAATTGGAGTTCTTTAAATAGTTAGCATCTGCTCCACCTGATCCAAAAAGGATGATAATGAGTTAACAACACCGAAACTCCGAAATGAAGATGTGCATGAATTTAATGAGAACGAATGTTGACTCATAATACTGTATATGAGATACATTACAGCAATCAGCAATTCAAATTTCAGGAATCAAAGTGCATGCGTAGATTGACGACCAACATAAAAAAGTTCATGCCTGAAATGTTATTTCGTAGGTGAATCTACCATTGAGATTAAAGGCATATCAAAACGCGTACATTGGAATGGTTGATTCACTCGCATTGTGGTCAAAACAACTTCTGTATTTGCATTCGAAATTTGTATCAAGGAGGTGTGTACGAAACCAAATCATGGAATTTTCTCTCAAGATCCTGATGACCCGCAACTTTTTTTTACCGAGGAATACGATTGGTCCCCCAATGAATTGCGTTCATGCGTCGATTACTATTGGTTTCCTTAGCGACCTAACAATAAATCAGTGTTGAATATATTCGATACAATAATTATAACCTAATTTAACCTAATAGATCTCATATGTCCATTCACCCTCATGTAGGGAATAATGATAATAGAATATTGTGTGTGTGAAGACATAATCTATGGGTAGACAGTTTCACAAATTTTTTCATGTTAAAAAAAGAAAGTGAGGATTTTTGAAGTTTTGAATGATATACAGTATTAGCAAACCTTATTTCATGCGACATACTACTTTAATCTCCATGAATGGAAATTTAATTTAATTTCGGTGATTGCTTGAAACGTGCATTTGGGAGTTTTTGAAACAATAAGAATTCATCGAAACAATATATGCAGTGTGGCTTGTTTCTTGGTTTTAGCTAATCCAAACAGGGTTAACACTTTACATCATTCAAAACGCACATCACTTCAAAATTCCACAATTTTGCTAATACCTGGTTTTTATTTTTAAGACAGTGGCGTCTGTGTTACATCATAGTAGGTTGTCAGCCCGTGAACAATCAATGGAATTGTTTGTTGAGTAAAGTTAAGATCGCATGATGATTTACACGTTTTAAATGATAGTCCGCGCGCGGATTTCTTCATGTCATAATACGCACATGTATGAATAATTATTGATACAATCGGATGAATGGCTGACCTAATTTTTTTTTTTTTCTCTCTCTCTCTAAAAATAAACAGAAAGTCATTATTCTTGTTTTCGAATGACAATCCAAAGGTTTTTTTTATTTGTTTAGCTTTCCAAATTCGTTCCCTAATCTCACGACACAATGACAAGGCTTAATCTTACCGTTTGTCCATGATTACCGTGTTCTGTTTTTCTTTTCCTATTATTCCCCCCTTCGTTTACTGTGTTTACATCATTCTCAATTAAAACTATTCCAGAAATATTCTAGATTGAAATCATTTCGATCTGACCTGTGATCCCAAGACATTCGCGTCAAAGGCAAGAAAAAAAAAAAAGGGCACGGGAAAAGATGGTTTCTGATTTTTGTTCAAAAAGCTTTTCGTGGTATCAGGTAAGATGTCGAAAAAGGTGCCCGATACAATAGATCTCGAGAATTAACTGGTTAGTCAGTCGGCAGGTCCCAGTATCTCTATTGTTAATTACCTTGTTCTTCGACAGCGCGCGGGTGCTAAAGGAAGTGTGAGAATAATAGAAAATAATAATAATGAAAATAATTTCTCCCAATTTAGTTAACCAAGAAACATTCATTGCACTCGCACAATACCAATTGATATATCGGACACCTTGACAAGTCACCCATTATCAAAAGATTAATTAGGATGAGAACGTTGAAATGATAAGGTCAATCCGTTCGACTGTCGCTTTCCATAATGAAGTCAATGATCGGGGGACCCTTTGTCGCAATAATATTCTCGTCCACAATATTAATGCACATCTGTAATAACGTCATCATAAAAACCGTGCATTTTGAATTTGCCAAGCCACCGATCCGCCCGTGCGATTATTCCTCACCCCTGTCAACAACTTCATACTGTACGTGTGGCGTCTCCATCCCTTAATTTAAAACGATAAGATTCCTAAACATGAGCATATACGACATTTCGGAGCCACACCTAGATAACGTGCATGAGTCTAGGTCTTTTCTGACGGGTTGATTTTCACTTGAGGTGGGGTCATGGGGCGGAATTTAAGTGTGTGATTGATCGATCCTCCGCAAATTGATGTCTCCCCCGGTAAATCCAGGTCGTTTTTTGGATTCGCGGTGTACTGTATTTAGTTGTGATTTTATTCAGGGGTGACGTTCCTCGATCCAACCCCGCCTTTTGTTAAAATCAAACCTACAGCATAAGCGAAAGAATGTTAATATATGGTTAAAGTAATGATGATTGATAGAACTTACAAATTTAGGCACTTCAATGATCAAGAATGTATAGGCCTGGTTAGTAATCCATCACATGAGACCTACCTCTCATTCAGTTGACATTGAAAAAGACAAAGATTAGCGTGTGAACGTACATACGCATCATCTAACAATTTAAGAATTATGTTATCCATGAAGTTGCTTTTCGGGTTATCAACAGGTTATGTCAACTTGATTCGAAGGTTGCACAAAGCATAGATATGAAAGCTATGAAGGGGAAGAAAGAACAATGGACTTTGCGTGCGTGTGCTCAAAAAAAAAATTTATTCTTGATTTACAACGTGTTATCATTGCATTCATTAAGAAATGAGGAACAATGGAACCTCCCCATTCCGTAAAAATTTTGTTGGGATTCCCGATACCATCCCAATCTTGGGATATCTTTTTTTTTTTTTTCCTTAAACAAATTTGCTCCCTTTCATCTGCACTTCTCCCGGACGATTAGAGCGTACTCATTTGTTCACTCATCCGTCCGTTACCGTAACGGTACAAGTACATCGTAGAGGAACTTTCGTGAGAAATCGAGTCTCCCAGGGGCACCATTCCAAACGCCAAATGTTTTTTGAGGGTTACGGCAACTTGGTAAACCCTGAATAGGCAAAACTGACACGATGATAAGACCATGCACAGAGATTTATAGTTGAATGCTGAGTGTGAAATTGGTTCGATAAGCACAGGAAAATTATACCAGATATGCCAAGATAAAGCGAGCATACATGAATCAACAAAATGATGGTAAAGCTGATGAACGCGAGACATAAACAAAACATAAACAAAGATTCCTCGAGATGAACCCGAGAATTTGTGTGGTCTAATATCAATGAACTAGAGCACGCAAATGAGCAAGGGAAATTTTACAGAAAAGCATCATGTGCATTGCATACCCTCGCATCTCTTCCGGTAAACATGAAAAACAGCAACCAATCTCAATAAAGTTATGGTCACGATAGACTGATCTTAAATGATATCATCTATTTCTATGGTTCGAAGCATTTCTTATTTATTCAATACATGTAAGAGAACAATAGCGAAAAAAAAATATCATGCATTCTAGGCGTGAAACTTATAAAAAGATAGTAGGTTTGTTGATTAGAGATGATCTTAATAAGTACAGATTTAATTACTAACATTTGAAAAAAAAAAAAAACGAAAAAAAGGAGAGAGAGGAACCAAATATTTGGCGCGTGAGCACTAGTCTTTCGAGCTCGTGTCACCGGGGAAACTTAAAATATACCTTGTTGTAGTTAACGCTCTCGCCTAAGGTTAGCAATACATTACAAATTAGTTCTCTTATAGGATCAATCAAATAAACGAGGACAATAGCATCTGCAGCGTTGATAGTTATTATTTCTAGTATTATTCCTGTTGTTGTTGCCATCCTAATTAGAAGGATATATGCAGGGTCGACAGGACATATGCGTGGTGGCACCTTTAACATTCTCAACCAGCCAACCAACCAACCGACCGACTAAAACCCTAGTGAGATTCTTTCTTAGCCACAATCTAGGAAATCAAGATAATATTATCCCGTCGTTACCCGGTTCCCCCGTAGTCATGTTTTTTTTAATTTACATCTCTAATTGTTATCACATCTCATGCCGACTAGTTATTGCACATTGTATTGTTCGTATGTTCAGAAATTGCAAAATCGTAACACACTCGAATGTTTGGCCGTGACATCCTTATAAGGAAACTTCCGGGAGATGGAAGTAATTTGTGGAAAGGCGTTAAATTAGAAACATAACGGTGTAAGACCAACGAAGGCTTAGTAGACAATGCGTTACTCATAGTTCTGTGTAACTTACAAAACCCATTGTTCAATGATGAGGACGGCCGAAAGAAGAATGACGGACGGTGAGACATTAGGTCACGCGTTCACGTACCACTTCTTTTTACTCTCTCAAGGAGAAAATGCCACGAACAAATATTCCTTAAAAGATTATGATGTCCGGTAACTTTATACCGTGTACCACGCACACTCGGGCCATCGTCGGGATCAACGATCTTATACCTCATTGCGGGATGTCGGGGAGTTGGCATCTTGGATATCACCGACCGTTTTGATTCCTATCTAAACGCAGTCGAGATGCCGTTTTGCGGGATTTTAATATTATCGGTCACAAGGGTGAAAGAAACCGAAAGGGAACCTGTGAGTATACGCGATGCAATTCTTACTCGAAAGGTCAGATTCAACGAAAATGTCCCTACCCCTTCTTCAAGCACCTGGTCAATTATACTGTATGAAAGAGCTAGATCGATTGATCAAAAAATAAAAAAAAAATCCGAAGCTTCGGTCAATTGGACATCCTAATCTGGTCATATTAATAAGTCCACAGGATTTAGATGGTCAATGCGTCATTGCATATCTAGGCATAAAAACTTTTCGCCGAAAAGAACATCGCTTTCCAGATCACGAAAGGCATCTAGATTGTGAGTCTCGAAAGCGAATCGCGATTCGAACTCGATACGCAGCATCACGTTCACCACTTTCTTTTCGTGGACTTCTCGTGACATTCGTTTGCCCCCCCCAAAAACCTTAAACCATATCGAGAGGTCAGGTATGTCACGCGGGAACGTTGCACCTTAGAAACCTAAACTATTCGCACCATAGATCAACGGCTGTGTCACGTGACATCGACTAACCTGAAGTTTACCTTGATTATGATTAGACCGAAGAGAGTACAAAAAAGGCTGATTATTTTTTTTTGGTTGACTACGGAAACTTCTCATCCTTTGCACGAGGTCGTGCATCAATGAATGATTAAAAATCGGTTAACCGTTGCTGTTGTGTTTGCATCTTGGACCATGCATTTAGAACTACCAACGACTTACTTGGTATTAAAAGAAGCTGTAATGATGATTACGGATTCAAGCCACATCGCATAATGTAACATACGCGCTATCGCATACATGGATGAGCTATTATTATCATTTCATTTACGCGAACTCATGTCGATAGAAAAAAAGAAAACCGATTTATTGAACCACAGCAGCTCCCGACGTTGCAGAACACCTCATGGTAAACCCAGTGATCAATTTCAGAGGATTTTAGGCAGGTCGGAAAAATAACGGTCGTCGAATCGTATCCAGGAAAGTTAAGCGAATACCCACGAAATCCACGGAGTCTGCGGGTAAAGTAAATTAAACGAATTATAAATTCTTTCGGCAATGTAACACACCTTGCAGAACGCAAGCCCCATAATAGGAAAGAACAGCCGAAGCTTACTCAAACCACAAATTTCTTAATGTCAAGCGTTTGTCGAGTACAATCAGTCAATCCCCCTTCAACTATGCCAAATTCACTAACGATTTCGTCATGCGTACATGATCTAAAAAAATTATCGAGCAAGTTTTCCCCCACCGATGAGTTATTTTAGCTAGGAGATCATAAACATTGTTTTCAATATTGTTGTTCCATTGTGCGTTGAGAGGTTCGTACATACATTTGCCATTGCCCCCCGTAAGCTTGTAGATTGCTTGTTGACAACATTTCGAATCACCACTTCGGTTACATACATCGACAGACTCGCGGTGAACCAGGCGTATGAATCGACAATGCCTTGTTTGAAAAATTCTGGAGAAATTTCTCTAGAGACAACAATGGACGGGCTGTATCGTGAAATCTCCAATCGATGCGATCAATGCCATAAAAAGCAACATATTGTGATAGTTCAGATACTTTGGAATAAATATACCCATAAATGGGTTTATCTTTGATCTAGAAGGTCCTAATAAGGTATCCACCTGAATCATGCCACCGTCTCACCATATGAATTGTACGAATTCTTATTTACTATTAGCTGACTTACTAATCAAGGAGATTGAATGACCGTATAACTGGAAGGAATGTCGTGTCAAAAGGAAGAGCGTTTTCATAAAAGAAACGAGGTCGATGCCGCCATAACCACGCAACAATTTAAGGTTATCTAGGAAGGAAGAGGCGAGACAATTGATTCTTTGCGAGAAATGACTCAGATGTGGTGCGACCATCATCAATTGTAATGCGGGATGTTTGTTGATGAAAAAAATTTTCTTTACCTGGTCTCTGTAAAATCACGGTTTTCGGTGGAGAAGACGGAAAATGAAATAACATCCCGAATTTGGCGCAGAATGGATTTTTTACGTCATTTTTTGTGAAAAAATAACGGTTTGTCATACGTGCGCCAAAAAAAAACTCGCGACGCGTCTCCGAAAACTGGTAAACTCCTCAAGTCCACTTTTTCACCCCAAAAATGAAAAACTTTAGTTCTTTAATGTACAGTAAAAACTTTCTTACCCAGTTTTTTTTTTTTTTTATTGAAGTTTTCAACTTTGAGTTTTTTTCTTTTTTTTTTTGACATTTTTTGAAAATCAAAAAATATATATATACACTAAACACACAACGTTCTCAAATCAATAACTAACAAAAAAATAAAATAAAATAAAATCAACATACATGGCAACTACTTAACATAGTTCAAAATTACCATCGCCAGTTATTTTGTTTTTTTTATAAGTATAAATAAAGCTTCTATACACACTACAACTATTTCGGTTGGTGGAATAAGTAGGTGATAATAACTGCGAACTATATTAATCCAGGAAAAAATGGAAAAAGAGAAAGAAGAGAAGAGAAGAGAAGAGAAAAGAAAAACAAGAGGAAAAGAAGAAGATGAAAAAGAAAAAAAAACTATTGGTACAACATTTATAAAAAGAGAAAAAAAGATGTTGAGAATAAATAGAATGAGTTCATATTACGGAATTGAGAAGGAATATATATATATATACGAGACACTGAGTCAAGAAAATATTTATATATAAAGATTTCAAAAAAAAGAAAAAAAAAAATGTCACGCGAAAATTTTTGTTTAATCGTAATTCACCACTCGAATTAGGGGGAGCAATGAAATTCATTCATAAACAAAACATCCTTAATATAAACCTTTGAAGTATCTTTAAACAAAATTGGCGTAGAGTTGAATGTTAGGGATCACTCGATTTTGCCTTATGGATACCTAAAGGTTTTGACATTTCTCTTATATTCGTTCTTAAGATTTTCATATGTTTGTCGGTGTTGTTCAAGTTTCAAGGGTAAGAATATGAAACTTCAAAAAATGGGTGTCGGGGTGTAATTATTCTTTTGATTGATTATTGAAAGAGGACGTCGTGTGTTTTGTAGATTTTTTAGGGCAAAGATCGTTTTTCGTTTTGATCGAAAAAATTTTTTATAAGGAAAAAAAAAAATTCTACTGCGTCTAAAAAGAAAGAAAGAAGAGTAAAACTATACAAGGTTGGTGACATGTATTAATGGTGTCCAAAAAAAAAAAAGAATACCGGTACTTTGGAATACATTGCTAGCTAATGGAAATTTTCTCTTTCGTTTTGGAGACTCTTAATATCACGTCAGGTGAGTGGAAATTGGTTTTTTGTCAAGGAAAGAGGAATTATGACTACAAGGATGCGTTTTTAATAAAGTAAGAACGAATTCTCTTAAAAACGGGAGGAAGAATATTATCTACAATCTATGTATCGGGAAAAACCTTTTGTGGCGAAAAATTTTCCCGTCAACGGAAGGAAGGCTAAACCTTTTAACTTTGTGCATGCCTCGTCAATTTAATCAAGGTCATGACAAAAAAGTTTTTTTTTTGATTTTTTTTTTTTTTGATTTTTTTTTGATTTTTTTTTTTGATTTTTTGTTTTGGGTAGGTGGGCAATAAGGAAGATAATCGTTTATCAGGAAAGTATTGATACAATTCGCGAAAAATAATGGTGGGTAAAGGAAGATGAATGGTTTGACGGTATGGTAAGAATTTTGGTAAGAATCTCTATCAAAGAGGTACATAATGGCGGCATTCGTACGAAGAAAAAAAAGGATGAATGAATGATATAAAACTCTTCGCTCCAACTCCAACAAATTCTTTTTCTCATTAATAGCGTTCAACTCAACAACCGGAGTCATCCGAATCCGAGGAATAAGCGGGTGATGATGGCAGCGAATAATCGGTGCCGACAAGCAGGGGTAAATCTGCGGTCCTCACCAAAACCGGACGGTAACCTTCGGGAATCCAATAGACTGTTCCATTTGCAGAATTACAATTGATACGCCTTGTTCTTAAAGGCCGTTGCGTGGAATAAGTATCATTGGTCGGGGAAGGTGGTGGAATGACGAGAACCTCATACTCGATTGTCTTGTTGTTCGAAATAGTTGACTTCAAGGTGGCAGCGTTTGGTGCAGGCATTCTTACTACGGTGAAAAGTGTTGAGATTTTTTTTTTTTCTTTCGTTCGAAATAAAAAAAAGAAGCAGTTATTGGCTCCTTCACAATCAGTTACAGGGGATAGATAAAGATTCTTTTGTAGCGAGAATAACTACTATTATGTAAATAGTAGTTAATATTCAGCTGACAAGGAGAAAAAATTTAAAGTTGAATTCGTTGCAATGTCTTTCTGTCTCAGGAGAGCTGGTGTCACTAATGAGTCGAAGAGCAGCGAAAATTTTAGGTTATATAAAAGATATTCTTACGAAGAAAGTTTATATAACCACTACAAATTAGTTTTTTTTTTTTCTGTGGAAAACTGTTTTAGTTTGTAGTGATCTGTCTGAAGCCAAATTCTGGGAGTTTATATAAACTTTTTTCTCAACAAAGGCGACAGTTTTGATTTGTTGGTTTTATAGTGTTTGAAAAAAAAAAATTCACTTGTACATATAATTTAAAATACACACACACAATTAACTGAACCAGCAAATATTAACAAATACACTATTTATCCATGCAATATAAAAAATAAGTACTATTTGATAATGGGAGAAGAGAAAAAAAAAAAAAAGTTAGATAATATAATATACATTCAAGTAAGTCAACCTTGCATAACCCCTTTGTCTGCATAATAACATGCTAATGTGCACTCTACATAAATCGTATGAACATCGATATTATATGTATATAAAGTTTAATATATTTTAAACTGTTTAATATGCATCACACACACAACAATAATAGCATTTATATATGACGATATGATGGTGTCTTGCTTAAATCATCCGGTTTTTTTATTGTTTTTTATGTGGCTTACATATTTGCCTTAGATTATATGTAAAACAATAATAATCGTAATAATTCTGACAGCTAATATAATAAAAATTTCTCGTTACAGATTCGTCACACGGTTTTAATTTTCTCTAGGTTTGCCCACTTCACCTACGCATTAGAATTTAAGTACAATAGGCAGTCGATAGGTTGGTCATCTTTGAATTTTTGTATGTGTGTGAATTGTGTTGTGTTACAATTCAATGCCTCCCTGATCACCAACTATATTGTGGAACTCGCAACCGTCTGTCTATTCATCACAAGTTGCGTCGAACGAAAAATGGACACAAGCGAAGATGTTCGACCTCCTCATGTTTCGAGGAAGACTTGAGAAAGAGTTCCGCGGCATCTCGCCCGCAAGAAACTGGTTATTATTATGTTTGTTTGTTTTTCATTTTCCTTGGCCGCGCGTACAGATAGAGTGTCAGAAGGATGTTCCCAAATTTCGGTGATGACGACAACGGTGTAATCATATGTACACCAGAAGTCGTCAATGAAGTGGCTAGATTTGATTTAGAGTTTAAATTCAAAATAACATAAAGTTTTAATATAACGTGTAATGCTTAAACACAAGCTGTCGAACGTTTTCTGTGTGCGTGGTACAGTGATCCTTCCCAAAGTAAACTAAAATAAAAAGAATCGCTACGAAACTCTTGATTCTTTACGAATGTACACAGGGAGAATACATACTTCAAACGCTTTGAAAACATCTGGAAAAAAAAAAACGCCATCCAAAATATCGAACAATTATCTTTTTCAGGTAAAACGCAATTGCTTGAAGACGACAAGGAAAATTTTTTTGAACAAAGAGGTGTGCATTTTATTGTGCTTGAATAAAATTCGACATATGATTGACGTTACATGCGTGTCAGGTAATAATGACAATTGCTTCACCATCCTTCACGAGGAGGCGAACGAATTCTACGTAGCGGAGTAGCAAAATGCTCTCGTTTAGGAAAATCCTCAGAACACACCAACGAACCCCACGAAATTTAAGTTAGTATGCCAGAATTTCGGGCAACAGAGATCTACACCTTTTGAGATGGAACAATGGTGTAACGTTGGAGGAATGCTGTATCGCCTTCCCGATTCATGCTTATTGTCATTCGTATAATGAATGTGCCAGATAACTATTATTTTTATACGGCGGTGGGTTTTTTTTCTATAATGAAAGCATCCTGATTGCCGGAGTTGCATGTTTCAAACATTTACAAACATCCGATAGGCACCACTTAATTCCGGCTAAAACCCTATTCACAGTTTAATATTTGATTTGGCAAGGAATCGAAATAACTTAGAACAAGGTTTTTTTATTTTCCTTGTGCTCGTCAAGGTTTTAAACCAAGTTTTAAACAAGTTTTGCATCATTGCCGAATAAAGATTTTGTATGACGGATGGTCAATCGATCGTGAACAGTAACTGAACAAAACCCTGGAGAAAATCCGTTAGCCGATATATACAATCTACGTAGATACAGAATAAACACCGGATATCCCTGACAATAACACAGATTCCGTTTGACCGAGACTGCTACCTTTTCGTTGTGTAAAAAAAAACAAAAAACAATGATTACAAACAAATCTGATCTTGTATTCCCATTTCCACCATTTCCATTTTCATTTTCATTTCCTAATCCTAAAAATGCAGTTAAGTTTAAAATGAAAAGCAACCTTACCAACCCAGATGTGAGGCGTCTCCTTAGCCACTAACCAAATTCAATTATGTATGCGCACATCAGGAGTGTATTAAATTCACATGATCACTTTTAATAAATCGGCAATAGCATAAACTTACCCAGAATCTTATAACGCAAATCGTGCTTTTTCCACTCCGAACCTATTGTCATCTATATCAAATGAACCGATAGGTGATTTGATTGATGATAAGCGTAAAAAACCTTAACCTTAAGCACTGACCACACATTTTGCTCATGAAAAACTTCTTTTCACTATAGAAAACATATCCCTATTGACAATAACCAACAATCTAATTGTCCCTTCGTTCTTACCTTATTGCAACCATTAGCCTTATGATTATTAAAAATTTTTTTTTCTTGAGCTAACCCAATTCTCATATTCACAATGATCATCGGTTGTCGTCCGTGCAAAAAAGACGTTATGTAATGTGTGATTGACCTTCCTTTGCGCACATAATACCACAATACCAACACCCGCGAGTGCAATTCTAGCGAACAAGTAGAATATGGCGTAAATATACGGTTTTGGAAAAAAATTAGCAAAATGACACCCTCGGTGAAAAAGGACGGACCCCTTGGAATGTTGTATATACCTTCCGAATATTCTAAGTGAATGTTGTTCTCTAGCCAGTTTAGGAAATTCCGACCTCTATTATCATTCCTCTGCATTACTTTGTGGGGTAACGTTAATTCACTCACTGCATACGCTTGGTTTCGGAAGTGAGATTTTGACACATTAAATCTAAATTTGTAATACGAGTTCGGTTTTGACAGTGTGGCAAATTTTTTCCTTGGAGGTCGTGTTCACGCACAAACCTTCGTAAATCATTGCTCAGGTATAACCAGCAATTCTTGTATACATCATCTTTGCCACGTTTCTTACATTCCCCTGGGATTATTTCCAACCAAGTTTTTGATGACAATAGTTTACTATCGACTTTCAATACCAAACAATGTCGTCATTATGAGATCTAGCATTTTAATATTCGTTGCATACAATGTACTTATTGTTCTTTCCTTTATGCTGCTAATTTGGCAACATATTTTCTACATGTTAATCCATAACAAAAGGATACCGTGAGGTCGTACGAATTTTTACCGAGATATCGAGATTCCTGAACAAACTGGACTGAACACAGGCTTCACCCACCCATCCGATTGTATCCTAAAGTTCGAAACGAGGATGTCGTACTTGCATCATGTGAAGTTGGAAAACGTAACCAGGGAATAAGACAAAAGAGAACTCTTCGCGATTAGAAAATCCAGAGAAAGGTGCATGGCATCTATTGTTCTCCATCATCGATACGCGATACTTCTTTCACAGCGTGTCTTTAATTACTCTTGTTTTCTATAACTTACATTTCCCTCTCCATGATCACCTTGATCTGTTAATCAACCAACCAACCAACCACCTCTTGATTTTAAACGAAGACAATGCCAATTTCCAAGAGGTCTAATACTTTTCTACTATTGTGATCGCGTTTATGGTTGTTAAGGAATCCAAAAATAGATCAACTGCCATCCGTTTTCATAAATTGATTGTTTATCGTTTCGGATGAAAAACGTGGCCAAATAAAGTGCCGATGTTTTGATTTTCCGTATGCGTGCACACCAACAATAACCATAATAACCATATGTAATATTGTTTTGAAGAATCTGCCGTTCGAGGTAATGATGCAAAGCGAAAACAGGAGTAGAGTTTTGTTGATTACTGCTATCGGGCGGTCCTTCTGACATCCATAATGGATTTCGCAACGGTGACAAAGATTGTTGATGGCGTGCGCGCATGGTTGTCAAAATTGTTAATGATACATGTTAATACAGCGTGAACGAAGAGATTAATGTAGCGTGTGCGAAGAGGTCGCATATTTGAATTGGGTAAATAAGAGAATCGTTTGATTTACAATAATTACTTAGCAACGATGACAATCTATACATTATACTGCTGCAAAACGTAAAACACACGATTCTCCATTTTATTTACCCATATGGATCGGTGTGACATTGAACTACTTATCATAAATTACACTGTATCACTTGAGCGAACAGAACAATCAATTGTATGGGATGCACCGATGAGAAGGACAATGCTAATGCTAACCACCAAATTTCGCTCGTAATCGTTGCAGGGTGGTATGGGTAACCGTAGGCATCATGTAACGTCAAATTGTGTGAGAAATTTTCGGTTCACAAATCTTGGTGATCTCGTCAGGAGAGGGGCGTATATGCAGTCACCATCAAGACAAGAGTCATGGTCGGTGTTACGTGAATTCTTGCAAACGATGTGTGAGCGTCTGCTGCTGGTAAACGTTAAGATCGTTTGGGCGGAATCAACGCGAAAGAAATTCTATTAAATAATCCAATCCACAATAAAGATATGGTGCAGTATGCTAGCTACTGTTGGTGTATAACGACCGATTGAGATTCTAGTGGCAGTCAAATTAATGATTTAATGGACATTTCTCGTCGGCACTGGGCCCCCGTTATTGCTCCGCGCGTTGCATTAATGAACTCTTTTCAAACGTGTGAAAACCTTTTCCATTCTGTCACATCACATTCAATTCAATCGCTTCCGGATTTAATATCACTATTAGTCAAGGAAATAATGCATACAATAAATACGATTATGACAGAAGAAATAAAGACAAATCGGTAAGGCCGACACCGGATTAAGGAATTTTTCAGTTCATCATAAATATGAAGGGGAAATATTAACCAGCGCGGGACGAATGTAGCCACTTTTCCTTATTACCTGGTTCTGATGTATCCTATTTTGATGGTGTAAATAAATATTCGAAATCTTTTGTTTACACAAATAAACCCTGCCACGTTTATTTCATGGACGACCCGGTTTCTTTGCTCGTTCCACGATTTTATGGGTCCATGATCATGGTGTATTCGATTACGCACCCAGCTTTCAATAAAACCAAAATCTTTAAGATGAAATGCTTTCGTCCAACTCTGCGAATTTGTCTTTATGAACCGCTGTGCTCATATTATGAGTGGGGCTGCAGGTGGTCGGGGCCAGTTCCCCTTGCCTTGTCCAAAGATGGTCGTTCCAAAATTGAAAACCAGTTTTTTAGCAGGTTCCGTGAAGACAAGCTCAATTGCATACATATAGTACATGAGCTAGGCCTAATAATTGATTATAGGGAAATTCAGCTTGAGGTCTTTGGTTTTTCACCGATAACTTGATCATCAAATTACTGTAGGACGAACGGTTAGACATCTTTGGCCTCAAAGATCAGTTTTCCAGCATTCGCGGCAATTAATTCCATTTTTAAAATTTTGTGGGGTAACTTTCCGATTCATCCTATTGACACTTTCAAACTTGGTACATTGAGGTTTGCATTTCTAAATTTTTTAAGGTGCGCATAGACCGTCCCAAACTAGACTATTTGCGGAGTCCTTCATGTAATTCCGCTAGGCCCACTTTATCCAATAATGTAATACACAATCGCGACACTACAAAAAATGAGTGATAGGAGCGTCCTATCACATAGACCTGATTTCATTCTTTCCACTAGATGCCGATTAAGCAATGGATCGTGTAACTCCCGTGTTAAAAAAGTTCATCCTATGCATGGCGTTTCTCTCTGCATGGGTTAGCTGTCCTGCGGAAATTATGGTAATGGGGTAGAATTCAGCATGTAAAAATTTTAATAAAACCAATTTAATGAAATCGACCTGGGTAATCGAAGCTCCTTGCTTTTGGATCCCAAATTCTTCGAAAGCGAGATACAATATTACCATATGTGTATGCTGTTATTATGTTTGATCCAGACTATAAGCGATACACCATGAATTTGATGATTTATAAGAATGCAGAGAAAATTCCACGCACTTGATTTGCTAGATGATTTATTAGCTATTCTAGATTTTATCAACACACAATTTGAAAAAATTTTATTTTTAGCAAAATAGAATCTTGCAAATCAATTAAAGACGATTATGACAAACTTACTTAAACATGATATTTAATGAATTTCATAATGTAAAATACACTAAACATTGTAAATATGATATGAATGAATGAATGTTCTTTTAATGAAATTAAATATCATCATCAAATAGAAATAATAACTATTATCAAATTCACATTAAATATACTGTATAAGTATTTGCAATGTAATTCAACTGCCACAAACAATAATGCTTGTAAGTCATCTTATAGGAAATACTTAAATAAAAATTTTAAAATAAAAATTAAAAAATAATATACAGTAAAAAGATAAATGATTAAATATTAATATAAATTTTGGTATTAATAAAAAAAAATAATTAGAATATTCATGAATTGACTTTTTAAAATAATATTTTATATAAATTTTCTATTTTAGTATAACTACATAAAGTATAAACAAATTAATTTAAATAGTTTAAAAATATAACAGAATTTTCATCTCTCAATAAAATTTTATTTGATATATAGATTTATTAATTTAAGATAAGTGAAATTTCAAACCAATATTAAAATAATATTAAAGTAATATTAACTTATAAAAAACCTAATATATGGATTATAACTTATTCTATTAAACTTATAGTAAATTCAATATTAATTTAATATCAAAATAATATCATTAGAAATTTTAGATATAAATTTATATAATTGGATTTATAGATGAATTAATTATAATTAAATTTATAGTTAATAATAAGATTAATATATACATGTAAAGATTATTTAAATATATGATTTAAATTTAAATTAAATAACAATTGTATTATTAATTATATATACAATATATAAATTATTTTATTATTGACAAAATTTTTAAAATCAATTGTATTATTATTTAATTATTTATATATTGTCATATAATATTTCTATTTTTAAAAAAATAAATAAATAAAGAATTAATAATAAAAGATATTTTATTATCAATTAATTTTACCTCATTTAATCGGCTATTTGCATATAAGCGACGATTGTTTGCATCTAGTTTTCCTGTTTGTACCTTTCGATGTCTTCCTTCTTGATAACGATGTAAAGCACCTAACCAATTGTTCAGTTGCTTTCGTGATGGATTAAAATGTGGGACCATTAATTTTAATAATTCGGGTATTAACTTGCTTAATATTTTTTTATTTGTATCACTTAAATAAACTTTGTCTACCCTTAGTTGAAGTTCTTTAGGAATAGTTTTCACCAGAACCTTCATTTCAGCCCTTGCCTCCTTTTCTTTTT